ACTTTATTAATCCCAGAGGGAAATTATATGTTGTGGTAACTCATCATCCTGGTTTCATTAAAGAGTTGTTATAGATGCTGATGGCTGTGGGCAGGAAGGATCTCTTGTAGCGGTCTGTCTTCATTTTATGAAGAATCCTTCTTTGTACAATCATCTCCAAAGGTTCTAGAGGAGTCCCCAGAACTGAGCCAGCCTTCTTTATGAGCTTGTTGATCTTTTTAAGGTCACTTGCTCTGGTGCTGCTCCCCCAGCAGATGATGACAGAAGAGATAGTGCTTTCTACAACAGACTTATAAAAGATATGCAGCATCTCACTGCAAACACTGAAGGACTTCAGCTTCCTCAAGAATTACAGTCTGCTCCGTCCCTTCTTGTAGACGGCTTCACTGTTGCATTTCCAGTCCAGTCTGTTGTCCAGGTGAACCCCAAGGTATTTATACTTCTCCACCACCTCCACTTCTTCTCCCATGATGGAAATAGGGTTGGACCTGTTACTATTTCTCCTAAAATCTACAATCATCTCCTTTGTTTTGTTCACATTCAAGATGAGATGATTGTTTCCACACCATGCCACAAAGCGGTCCGCCAGTTCCCTGTACTCAGCTTCTTGTCCATCTCTGATACTCCCGACCACTGCAGAGTCATCTGAATATTTCTGCAGATGACAGGAGTCTGTTTTGTACTGGAAATCTGAGGTGTACAGAGTGAAAAGGAATGGTGAGAGTACAGTCCCCTGCGGTGCTCCTGAGCTACTGACTACCGGGTTAGACACACAACCCTTCAGTCTCACAAACTGTGGTCATTTTGTCAGGTAGTCTTTGATCCAGGTGATTGTTGAGGCCTCCTCCTGAGTCTTCTGGAGTTTCTGACAAAGCAAATCAGGTTGGATTGTGTTAAATGCACTGGAGAAATCAAAGAACATGACTCTCACAGTGCTGTCTGCCTTTTCTAGATGACAGTGAGTTTGCTGAAGCAGGTGTTTGATGGCATCTTCGACTCCAAGTCCACGCCGATAAGCAAACTGCAGTGGGTCCTGATATGTGCTTGTTTGTTTAGTCAGGTGGGTCAGTAGACGTCTCTCTAGGACCTTCATGATGTGGGATGTCAGGGCAACAGGTCTATAGTCACTGAGGACTGATGGGTGAGTTTTCTTTGGCACTGGAACAAGGCATGATGTTTTCCACAACACTGGAACCTTCTCCTGGGTCAGGCTAAGGTAGAAGAGGTGCTGCAGAACCCCACAGAGCTGCTCTGCACAGACCTTCAGGACTCTGGGACAGACACCATCTGGACCTGCAGCCTTGTTGTTCCGGTTCAGTCTCTCCAGCTGCTTCCTCACCTGACTTCTGGAGATGCGGGGGGGGGGGGGGGGGCAAAGGAGGCATCAGCATCTTCTGATTTGGTTGAAGACCAACATGTAGAAGAAGGGTCCATGACTGAGGTGGTAGATACAGTATTTGAGGTGTGACATTGGGTCAAAAGAGGGTGGTATATCTGTTTGGCTGTGGGCAAGAGAGGAGGATGCTGAGCTTGTTCCTGAACTGAACCTATTGAAGAATGTGTTCAGTTCATTGGCTCTGTCCAGGCTTCCATCCTTCTGATCCTCCTTCTGCTTGAAGCCTGTGATCTGTTTCATCCCTGTCCACACCTCTCTGATATTGTTCTGTTGGAGCTTGCTCTCCAGCTTTTTCTTGTGCATCTCCTTGTTGTTTCTTATATTGACTTTCAGTTGCTTCTGTGTACTTCTCAATAATTCCCCGTCTCCCTCCCTGAAGGCTCTTTTTTTCTGGTTTAGCAGTTCCTTCAGGTCAGTGGTGATCCAGGGTTTGTTATTGGGGAAGCATCTCATTGTTCTGGTGGGGATGGTGTTGTTTACACAGAAGTTTGTATAATCGGTCACACACTCAGGCATGGCACTGATTTCCTCTCCATGTGTCTGGCACAGTGCATCCCAGTCTGTAGCCTCAAAACAACACCGCAGGGCTTCTTCAGCTTCCGTTGACCATTTTCTCACTGTTCTCTTTATTGCAGGTTGCCTCTGAACAAGGGGTTTATATTTTGAGCAGAGAAACACAAGATTGTGATCTGATTTGCCAAGAGGGGGTCTTGCTTTAGCGATGTATGAATCCTTGACATTTGCATAAAACAAGTCCAGCGTTTTGTTTTCTCTGGTAGAGCAGCTGACAAACTGTTGGAATGTCGGAAGTGTAGCAGAGAGAGAGGCATTATTAAAATCCCAGATATTGCAACAAACGCACTAGGGTGTTGTGTCTGTAGCTTAGCAACCTCGGAGCTGATGACATCACACGCAGTCTCGGCAACAGAGATTGGGTGGAATGTAAACAGTTGCCAAAATAACACTGGTGAACTCTCTTGGCAAATAATATGGACAACAACTTAGTGCTAACAGTTCAATATCTGGACTGCAGAGACGACACTTCACAGTAACATGTCCAGGATTACACCATCTGTTGTTCACAAGCACTGCCAACCCACCTCCTTTCCTTTTGTCACTCCTCTTTAAATATCTAACGATACGTTGTTACACTGATGTTCCTCCTCGATCATGTGAGCAGCTAGTTTTGAATGTCAATAACAAACTGGTAGATCCATTACAAGAAGGTGCTATTTAAAAGACTGAGGCCCGATTTACACGGACACGGTGGGGGGAAACAGTTTTTTTAGTATGTCATGATTCTGATTCTTCTTCTGACAATTTATTTTATTCAGTTGAACTAATTTTAAATTCACACTCTGATCTGGAAGTGGTGTCCAGCTATAAGTACTTGGGTGTGCAACTGAGTAGCAACCTCAGCTGGGACAACAACACCACCAGTCTGATCAACAAAGCGCATCAGAGACTCTACTTCCTCAGGCAGCTGAGAAGAGCTGGTCTGGGAAGCTCAGTCCTCACTTCCTTCTACAGATGTGCAGTGGAGAGCATCCTGTGCTCCAGAATCAATGTGTGGAATGGAGGCTGCACAGCTGCAGAAAGAAAAGCTTTGAAGAGAGTGGTGAAGGCTGCACAGAAGCTGTTGGAGTCAGTCTCCCCACCATCACAGACATCTACACCTCTAGATGCAGGAAGAGGGCCACCTGCATCATGAATGACCCCACTCACCCAGCACACACACTTTTTGCCCAGCTCCCCTCAGGAATGTAAACACATGTAAACACAGGAAAAACACTGTAATGCCACTTTAATTGGAGATTTGTTGCATTATCTGTAATGCTGATTATCCATGCTGCCGATGCTGCTATCTTTATATCCATCTGCTCACAACAGACTCATGTGCAGGCTGCTGTTAATACACCATATTATTTTACATTATTATTGTTTAGGGTATATCTTAGATCCTTTTATACTGTTTTTTGATACTTTCTATTTTTGCTATCTTTGGTTGTAACTGGGACCTTGGGTACACAATTTAATTCCACCTCATGTACCACATGTGATGTGAATGACAATAAAGAACCTTGAACTGTGAACCTTGAATTAGAAATGTTTCAGCCAGGTTTTAGAGTCCATTATAGCACAAAGACAGCTTCTTTAAAAGTAGCTAAATGACAACAGAATAAACCATAATAACAATCTACAGGTTCTGGTACTACTTGACCGCAGTGCTGTTTTTGACACTGTTTATCACTAAATTAATTTAGATAGATTAAACAAACACATTGGCTTATCTGCAACAGTTTAAAATGATTTTCTTAATGTTTTTGATATAAATTGTTTTGTTAAAACTGATTATCACTCATGAAAAGGTATGACATTACTTGTGATGTTCCACAAGGATACATTTTAAGACCTCTTCTTTTTAATTTGTTTATGTTGCTTCAATCAGTTTCATCAGGAGATATGGAATCTCTTTTCTCACGTATGCTGCTGATATTCAGCTCTACATTATTGTATATCCTGATGACACTGGACCTATTGACACACTTCTTAAATGTATTTTTGTTCATGGATTCTGCAAAACTTTCTACAGTTTAACCAGGACAAAACTGAGGTGCTGAGATTAGTCTCTACTGTACACTCTCAGCATCTCTGTCACTATGGATTAAAGCTATCCCAGAAGGCAAGCAATCTAGGTGTCAGATTTGACTCAGATTTCAATTTCCAACCACATAAAACATCAGTAATAAAAAAGAATTTTATCATTTAAATTTTTTTTCAGTGTAAAGCCATTTCCCTCTTTGGACAAGACAGATACTAAAACATGCTTTTAAAACTCACAGCTGGTAGACTGTAATGTTCTCCTTTCTGGTCTTCTAAAGAGTATTCAGCTCCAGTTAATTCAGAATTCAGCAGTGAGTGCTGACAAAGACCAGAAGGAGAGTTCATGTAGTCCTGTTTTAAAATCCTTACACTGGCCTGTTGATTTTAAAATTATTTGATTGGTTTTGAAGACCCTTCACAGCAGTTTTCTCCGGGTACTCCTGTTTCCTCCCACAGACCAAAAACATGCATGTTAGGCTGATTGATAACTCTAAATTGTCTCTAGGTGAGTGAGAGTGTGAATGGTTGTTTGTCTCGTTTGTCTCTATGTGTCCCTGTGATGGACTTGCGACCTGTCCAGGGTGTACCCCGCCCCTCGCACAGTGATTGCTGGACATGGGCACCGACGACCCCTGTGACCCAAAATGGAAGAAGCAGGTAAAGATAATGGATGGATGGATGGACCCTTCACAGCCAAGCAACAATGTCAGAGAGATGGTTTTAATCTAGGATGTCCCTGCTGCTCTTTGGTTCCTCTTTTTTAGTTGGTCCACAAAGCATAAAAATAAATTTTAGCTGATTCTGCTTTTAGTATCTACACACTGAGACTATGGAACAGCCTGCCAGAAGACCTGAGAGGAGTCCATGATCTAGATACTTTTAAACATATACTTAAAACCCATCTGTTCCGTCATGCTTTTACACAAGATAGCTTTTACTCTGCAATGTAAAGCACTTTGAATTGCATTTGATTTGTAGGAAAGGTGCTATAAAGCTTGGTTTATTTTGATTGATGTAAGCAGGTGGAGGTGATGTTACGTTTGCAAGTGTGAGTGTGGCCCTCCTCTGCAGGTCTCCAGGGAAGATCATTGTAGAGCTCAGCACAGTTCTCACAGTTCACACCAGCTGTGTTGTGCTTGCAGTCACACTGAGGATTCATCTGCAAAGTCACAAACATCACATTCTTCCTCAACAAGCATAACTGAAGTCAAATTTACTCTTATCATTATAAGATTTCAAGTAGAAAATCTCACACTATCATGTACGTTAATATAAATTTCTTGCATCCAAATTGGAATTTTGATACAACCAAGTTTAGGTAAAGTTTTTGTTGACATGTACCTGGATGGTGTTGGAGAGTGGATCATTATGTTTCTCCGGCAGACACCGGTTGGCATGTCCGTGGCACAGACAGCTGCCCATGACCCTCACCTCCTGCAGTGCGTAAAATCTGCTCAGAGACCTCCCTGGTATATGAGGCACCTCACCCAACTCAATGAGCCTGACTCGAAGCCCCATAAAGCCAGACTTTTCTGTTAACAAAAAATTCAGTGAGCTGTAAACTTGAACTGTATATGTCTGACCATGATGCTTTTATTGACTAATACCTTCAAGTTTTTGGCTGTTGGGAGCTGGGACAGACAGATACTGACGCAGTGGACTGAACTCAATCTGCAAACAACAAGGATTCCTTTGTTAGTGTTTCTTTCACACACATTTTACAGAGCTTTTCTCTTCCTTGGCACAAAAAAATGTAACTCACATTTTTCTCAAACTTTCTGTCAATGCACTTTTACACAGAAACTCTAAAAAAGTTAAGTCAGGTCCTCTGGATGTTCAAAAAACATCCAGAGGACCCGAAGAACATCATCTGAATCGTTAGGCTGATGGTCCTTCTTGATCATGTGAACAACTGGTTCTGGTTGTCAGCAGCAAACTGGTTGATCCACTCTGAGAAGGTGCTATTTATAAGACTGAGCTGAATACAGCACCTCAGACTGAAGAAGTCTTTCGGATGAAAGATGAAATGTTTCTACAATTGTTTTTTGTTCTTTGAATGTCCAGAGGACCAGACTTAACTTTTTTAGATTTTTCTACCTGGATTATTGAGCAGCATCAGAATATTTACACATAAATGTTTCATAGTTATTCAATTCAGTTCAAAAATACTTTATTAATCCGAAAGGGAAATTAAATTTGTTGTAACTCATAATCCTGGTTTCATTAAAGAACAGTTCTAGAGGCTGATGGCTGTGGGCAGGAAGGATCTCTTGTAGCTGGTGAAGATTCTCAGTCATCCATCCATCCATCCATCCATTTTCTTTACCCGCTTGTTCCATTTTGGGTCACGGGGGTCGCCGGTGCCCATGTCCAGCAATCACTGTGTGAGGGGCGGGCTACACCCTGGATGGGTTGCAAATCCATCACAGGGCCACATAGAGACAAACGAGACAAACAACCATTCACTCTTTCACTCACACCTAGGGACAATTTAGAGTTACCAATCAGCCTAACATGCATGTTTTTGGTCTGTGGGAGGAAACCGGAGTACCCGGAGAAAACCCACACATGCACGGAGAGAACATGCAAACTCCACCCAGAAAGGCCCCTGGACCGGGGTTTGAACCAGGGACCTGCTTGTTGAGAGGCAGCAGCTCTACCAGTTGCGCCACCGTGCTGCCCTTCAATAAAACCAATAAAACCTTCAATAAAAATAAAAAGGTGTTGAGCCCCCTCCTGCTTACTCTGCTCATGTATGATTGTGCAGCTACCCATCCAGGCTGTCACATTGTAAAGTTTGCAGATGATACAGCGGTGGTGGGATGCATCACAAACAATGATGAGTCCAGCTACAGGCAAGAGGTGGACGTTGCACGTTCGTGGTGAGATGTATTGTGTCACTTCCTCTTTGTCTGTTGGTAGCTCAAGTGAATTGTTTGCTCGAGTCATCTTTGTTTTCTGGATTTATCTGTTTTTTGCACAGTTTTTCATTCTAGTTCAGAAACACACTTAGTACAGTTGTTTTTCTACTGTTGGATAGTGATGAAATGACTACACAGTTACTGAGAGTAAATTTCATCTCAGCAAGTGCTTATCAGAAAATGCTGTAACCAAATTTAAACAATCTCTTCCATCAATGTTTTCCTCTGTCTTGCAGAGTAATGCATCAGAGAACAGAGACTTAGATCATCTAGTTGATCATCTTACAACTTCAATGTGTCAGATGTTTAGTTTCTCCTCTGCCTCCTTTAGTGGTAATGATACATGTAACAAATGTAGTCTTATGGTAGCTTTGGAGGAGAGGCTGTCTGAACTGGAAGCTCGGCTCCGTGCTGTAGAAAAACCAGTAGCTAGCCAGGTCCCCTTAGACAGCACGGAACCACAGAGGCTAGCTCCTGTTAGCGGTCCTCCAGCAGACCCCGAGCAGCCGGGACCCCAGGCCGGCTGGGTGACGGACCGGAGCAAGTGTAGTGCTAAGGTTAAGCCCCCAGTTCACCACCTACCCGTTCACGTTTCTAATCGATTTTCCTCGCTCAGTGACACACCCGCTGAGAAGCAGACCCTGGTTACTGGAAGCTCCATAGTCCAAAACGTGGCTTTAAGGACTCCAGCGGCCATAATCAAATGCATTCCGGGGGCCAGAGCGGGCGACATAGAATCTTATCTGAAACTGCTGGCTAAGGCTAAATACAGTAAGATTGTTATTCATGTCGGTGGTAATGACACCCGGTTACGCCAATTGGAGGTCACTAAAATTAATGTTGCTTGGTGTGTGACTTTGATAAAACCATGTCGGACTCCGTAGTTTTCTCCGGCCCCCTCCCCAACCTGACCAGCGATGACATGTTTAGCTATATGTCGTCGTTTAACCGCTGGGTGTCCAGGTGGTGTTCTGACAATGACGTGGGCTACATAGATAACTGGAGTTCTTTCTGGGGAAAAAATGGTCGATGCGGAGAGATGGCATCCACCCCACTTTGGACGGAGCCACTCTTCTTTATAGAAATATGGCTGATTTTGTTTATCCCCCAAGTTATTGACAACCCAGGGCCCAGTCCAGGAAGCAGAGTTGTAGTCCTCCACACCTCTCTGCTGCTTCTCCTCTGTTACCCACCCACACCCACATTGAAACAGTGTCAACTCGCCCACGGCTCAAATTAAATAAACCAAAAATCAACTCTAAAAATACAAACCATAAAAATCTGATTAAAATAAACACAGTGACTTTACCAGAACAAAATCATAAAATCATTAAATGTGGATTATTGAACATCAGATCTCTTTCTTCTAAATCCCTGTTAGTTAATGAACTGATAACTGATCATCATATTGATTTATTGTGTCTGACAGAAACTTGGCTGCAACAGGAGGATTTTGTTGGTATAAATGAATCCACTCCTGTTAATTATTTAAACGTTCATGTTCCTAGAACAACTGGCCGAGGTGGAGGAGTAGCTTCTATTTTTCAGTCAGGATTATTGATCAATGCCAAACCAGTTATTAGTTATGATTCTTTTGAATCGCTGTCCCTCAGTCTTTCTCATCCAAAATGGAAATCAGAAAAGCCACTTTTACTAGTTGTTATATATCGTCCACCAGGCGCTTACTCTCAGTTTTTTTCTGAATTCTCAGAATTATTAACTGACTTATTATTAAATACTGATAACATCATCATAATGGGTGATTTCAATATTCATGTACTGTAAATGTTGAGAGTTATAACAAAAAAGGTTGAATCATGTCATCTGGACTTCGTTTTTTTTGTTA